GTTGTTAGTTTTGTGATACTATTCAAAGGAGTGGATGGTGGTGAGGGGTGTCATTGGTGTAGTTATATGAACTGTGTTCCTACATCAAAATGGTCCTGCGAGAATTGAAGAACTGTCCTTGCTTTCTCTTGTTTGTGGAGTGCTAATTTTTGCTAATTTTTTTATTTGATTAATATATTCATTTTTGGTTTTTTTTTTATTGAGGTTATTTCAATATGGTTGCTAAATTGATGTGGGGAAAAAAAAAAAAAGTTTGTAATATAATTGTTTTTCTTCTTGTTTTTTTTGTAGGACATCTTGGAATGTATTTTTTTAGGGATAATTACATATAGACCACTCGAAACATTGATATTTATGAATTAAACGGGTGATTTTTTTTATTTATTTTATTTTATTTTTTATTTTTTTTGTGAACTACTGAACCGATGTATTTATGTCATGATCGAACTATGGAAAATTTGATAAAATGAAAATTATGGGTTGAGGTTTTACCATGAAATTTGATTTTTGAGTGAGAATTTGAAAGATTGGTGAAAGAGAGCAGTTGAGGTTTTACCATGAAATTTGATATTTGAGTGAGAATTTGAAAGATTGGTGAAAGAGAGCGATTGATTTGTAAATAACAAGGTTCGAGCGGTCTGAATGTAATTGCTCCTTTCTTTTAATAATTAATTTTCTTTATGTTTTTAATTTTAATAAACTAGTTGCATCAAGCTATTTATTTATTTATATAGACATAATGCCTTTATTTTTATCTTAAATTTGTTTAAAACAACTCATTTATAATTGATAAAATTAGAAGTCATACTGCTCTGCAATTTTTTTTAGAGTTTTTACTTGGCAAATTCTTAAAACTTTAAATATAACAACCTAGCCACTCATTTCTCTTATATTTCATGCCAACCCCCTAAAACCCATAAATTCCTCATTTCCGCCCCCTCCCACCTCACACCACCCGTGCATGTCTCCCTCCGTAGGTGTTTCGTCGTCCTCCATGTCTCTTCTTCTCATCTGTCGTCAATTGTTAACATCTTTGTCTTGTAAGTTGCAAAAACCCTCTTCCCTTTCGGTCTCCTCTATTTAGTGGGAGACCCTTGCACCTTCACACGTCGAGTGGTACCGAAGAAGGCGAGGGTTTCTAGCATGCCACAACTCAGGCGAGTTTCCCCATTTTCTCTTACATTTTTCTTTTAGAAAGAATTTTATTTAATTTCTCTTAGATTTTGTTGAATCTCTCATCATTCTCATGAATTTTCTCTTAAATCAGTTAGTCCTTAGCGCCGTGGCGCTAGGCTTTTGGTGCCAGGTCTGGCACCCACAGTGGTGCAATACTTCGTGCTTTCATGTAAGAGGCTATTTCTGTGATGTTTTGGACGCCTAGGCTCTCAGTCTGGCGCCTAGACACCGAGAGATTGGCGACAAAATTCCAATGGTTGGACTTAGATGTTAGCCCCAAAATTCTGATTTTCACCTGGAGCACCTGACGGAGGATTTTCTCAATCCGTAAGCTATGGGAGACGCCACATGAGTGAAATGCAGTCCCATAACTCGAGAACTTAGTATTCCAGTTTGCGAATCACCGGGGGAATCACTCCCCACAATCTTCCTAAGCCACGACACTGGTATGGTGTCCCAAACCCTAACTTTTCGTAGTGTGCGTAGGAGGACTCTGTGACTTCCTTTGGCCATGGTAGGCTCTAGACGGACGTACGGTGATCTCTAAATATTAGAATAAGCGCCAAATTTGTTCCATGTCTTGAACGAACCTTCCCGATGCCAGGTTCTCCCAGGCAAGGCTAAATCACCGCCAACCCTAGCTCCTTGCGCAGTGCAAGTGCTAGAGAGTCCCGTGTGGGTGTTCTGAGCTATTGGATGCTACGGACGAATCTTAGACCATCTCAAGTCATGTATGTGGACAACCTACAATTGTGACACCAAAAATAGTGCCAACATAACCATTTGCATGGAATATTGTTCAGATATGAATGCAGTTGGGGGCTAGTTTCATGTATTTCTCTAAAACTTTTGTCAAATTCTGCTCTAATATATTCATTTGCAGGTAGCCAAACATTGTGTCAGATTGCTTTGTTACCATGAAAATAGTGGTATTCTTTATTGTTCTCCCATAAATGACACGCAAACTCTATGCTAGTATTAGAAAAGACGCCACTAAGTGCCTTTATCAAATCTTTTTTCCATATCAGAGATAAATGTCAGTGGTGCAACTTCAAACTCGAACCACAAATCTAAATGTCTCAAAAACCATTCCCAGGACTTCTTTGACTCCAACTCAACAGCTGTAAATGCAGTTGTAAAGGTCATTATTCCCATCCATTGCATTTGCTAAAAGCAACACTTCGAGATATTTTAATTTTAAGTGACATGCATCAAACTCCACAAGATGTCTACAACCAACTATGAACCTGTCAATACGCACCCTAAAAATGATGTATATTCTCTCAAATGCATGATTAATGCTATTGTAATAAAAACAATGTGAGATTCAGGGCTTCTTTTGATAAGTTCAGCATAGAGTGCAGACACCAACTTGAAACTATCATCAACTGCTCCAAATATTTAGTCTGTTTGGGGTAGCTGCAGATTATTTATAATATGCTGATAAACAAATTATCCTAACAATCTGATAATTTTTCAGATTATTAGGATAAGCTGGTTTGTTATTTGAGAGAACTTATTCAGAACAACTTATTTGTAGCTGTTGGATAAATGACAATTCTGCCCCTGTTTAGTGATGTTGTTTGCAACAGAACTGTATGAGCAAAATAATAAATAAAACAGAAGTTGCAAACCATTACAGATCAGTTCAAAGAAACAACATAGAGTGCTCACTATCTCGTGAGTATCAAAAGAAATAAAATAAAAAGAAATATAATTACAATTACAGTTAAAAATATTAAAATGTTTAACTTAAAACTCTAACGAAGTCTGTCCTCAGGTGCAGTGTCCTCCTGGGAAACCATCGTACTCCGATCACTGTCGGTAGTGAAATATGTCAGAATGTTGGCCCAACGGAAGAAACTGCATCACGCTGAAATGCCCCTCCGATAATCGTAGAATTGTCTCCCACTGTTGTGAGGCTAACGTGATGTGAGTAAAGAAGTCGTTAGTTCGCTGTAACACAAAACAATTGGGGAGGTATCTGAAATCCTAGAGCTCATGTTGCTACATAGATAAAAAAAACAAAGAAATCATTTGTTAAATTAGAGGATTAAATTAAGTTCTATATAGCTACAAGAGAACTGAATTAAAAAAAAAAAGTATCGACCGAAACAACCATAAAAAAAGAAATGTTAGTCTGTGCGGTCTCAAACAAGTAACTATACCAACCCACGTGTCTGCCATAACAATGAGACAGTACACCTTAAAAAAATGAGTTCATGGTTGTCTTTAACCCACGAGGACGATCGTCCTGGGATACATGTGCCTATCATAAAAAAAAATCATCCAGTAGATCTTCATATACCGCTGCACTGAAAAGAAGAGAGGACCTATGTTACCTTCTTTAGGATTTCACAAACAATACCGACAGGATACAATCATCCTGTGTCAGATGTGCATATCACCAAAAAAGACACCTATCATTAAAAAAAAAATCATCCAGTAGATCTTCATATACCACTGCACTGAAAAGAAGAGAGGACCTATGTTACCTTCTTTAGGATTTCACAAGCAATATCAACAGGATACAATCATCCTGTGTCAGATGTGCATATCACCAAAAAAGACAAACCACATAAAACCACATAATCCGATGCACCCAAAAGAAGTGAGGATATCAGTTACCTTCATTAGGAATACACATGCAAATTAGATAATAGCAATGAATCGATCATCCGAAAGAACTCATTAGTCCATATTTTTCATTGTTCATCATTGACCTCACACACCCACAAAAAAAAAAGAAAAAAAAAAGAAAAAAAAAACAAAAAATTGAATAAAAAAAAAATTGAAAACAAACAAGTCGTTCTTATATAGTCGAAAGTGTAAATGAAACAAACGAATTTCTTAATAAAATAATAAAATCCAAATTCACAACATAATGAAATACACACGAAAAAAACTTATAGCCTAATAAATAAAGAAGAGTTGGGTGAATGAGCAGCCACAGATAGCATCTGAGATGGACAAGAATGAGGGCTCAGGGGTAATAAGCTGCGACGGAACGCGGAATGCGGGGTCCTCACTATGGCTGAATTTCCTTACCATTATAATGTAAATCGTTATGCGCGTATCCCGGCCGCAGCTGCGAACACAACAACCAAACTGCAGTTTGACGTCTGCGCCAAACAGACACTTAATCCTGTGCTAACTGCCTTGTTCTCCATACCTTCATATATGAAAGTGATAACCCACCATTATTTTCTAAAGCAAAGTTAATTTCTTTAGGAGGTCTATTTGGATAAGTTTTGACTATCTTGAATTTCAGTGGCCACCCAGATTGTTGTTTGCTTCTCATATAGGCACAAATGTGAACCTTCGATTTTTCTTATTTCAGATGTATGTCCATCGACACAAACCGAAGCTCCCACTCTCCATGGACAAATATTATATGAACATACCGCAATGACTCTTTTTCTATCTGTTTTTTTAAATTTCATCCCAAAATTCTTAAAAATGGCCAGTTTAAAAATAAATTGTTTGAAACTAGCCGAATCTTTAAACTGAGCGCCAACCTCTAAAGCCATATTATTAAACATTTTACTTACCAACTAACCATCAATATATTCATCAATCTTATATGTGCATATGCTAGTACTATCTGAGCTTGAATGATAGTACTCATCTATTTCATCACCCTGTGACACCGTGAAATTTCAAATTGCCTGCATCAATACATAGAAAGAAACTCATAAAAACATGTCTTACATTCACTACATATTAGTTAATGCTCGGCCATATGCAAAACAAAGTCTCTAACTAATGCAAGTTCATCTTACATCAATACATAGAAAGCAACTCATGAAAACATGCTTTACATTCATTACATCATAGTAAATGCTCAATCATACGCAACAATAAGTTTTTACCAAATGCAAATTCACCCTTCTTATTTATGTGCCACAAAACCAATTAAATGAGAAATAATATATCATTACAAAGAATATAACTAATGCAAATATATCCTTCATTATAATCCCAATATTGGGTCTCATCTAAATCCAACAGCAATTTAAGTACCATTTCACCTCCATCTTGACTGATTTAAGAGAAAGAAGGAGCATATCATATTGGAAGCATGACAAAGAAAAGAGAGCTCAGAAACAAGATATCTTCTCAACAATCAAAACTACCTGACAAAAATCATGGCTTCCACAATGGTATACTTCAAGAGCTTGCATGAATCATGACAATGCAATATTGGTATAATGGATTCATCCAAATAACCTCCAAGGGAAACTACAATAGTAGCTAAGAGAAAATGAAGCTATACACTTTTACTAGAAAGCTCACAAGCACACAACATTCATACTCTAATCATATTTCTGTGTCATATGAATTGGATGCTACGCATGTACATTGCCAACAGAAATGTAAGACCCATTTGACCTCTGTGTTGCCTTAAATCACGGATGATTGCATATGAATTGGGTGCTATGCATGTAAATTTCCAAGTCATGAATAATTGCAGATGAATTGGGTGCAACCCATGAAAATTTCCAACACAAATGTAAAACCCGTTTAACCTCTGTGTTACCTTAAATCAATGATATAAGAGAAGGGGGAAAAGGAGGAGAGTCCTAGCAAATTCTCAAAGAAAGGGAAAGAAATAAGAGTTTATGCAAACTCTACGAGAAATGGGGATAAATATTGGAGCTTTAGCAAACCTTCGGTTGCATTACAACAAAAGCCTGAAACCCTCGCTTTCCTTTAGTTCGCTCCAAGGTGAAACGTTCGAAGTTCCCAATGGTGAAGCCTTCTTCATGACGACTGGCATGTGGAGGTGCGAGGGTTTCTTGCTCGAAAGAGGATGCTGAAAGGGAAGAAAGGTTTCATGACTTACTGTTGTATTCACAACTCAAGGTTGTGTTCAAGCACTGAAAAGAGCCGGTCGGAGCAGTTAATGATTGATGACAGATTACGTGAGGAGACACGGAGGACGAAGGAGCCCCTATGAAGGAAGCCGTGCGCGATCGACGTGAGGTGGTAGGGGCGGAAATGAGGGATTTGACGGTTTCAAAGGGATTGGCATAAGATATAAGAGAAATAGTTGACTCGGATGTTATATTAAAAGTTTTAGGGGATTGCCAAGAATTGGATATGAGAATGGTTGAATCTTTATAATTATAATGTTGATCAAATTTATTTTCAAACAACTGCAAATATTAAATTAATAAATGGACAACGAAGAGTTAAGGCTACAAATTAGGTAAATGTTTGACAAATTACACATAACTTGGCTTAATTGTAACTCGTTCATGATAACTTAATTAACTGATCAAACATATTTGAATTAAGATAAATACTTAAATGAGCAAACTTGAATAACTTATTATTCAATTAATTAATGCACATAAATAGTATTTATTTTTTAAACTCAAAAGATACTAATTTATTTTTACAAACAAACTGCATGTATAAAGCTTCACTAAGATTCAATTAAGGCTTGATTAAAGGTTAATTATAGCTCATTTATTTTGTTAGTTAAGCTACTCATTAATATGCTCAATATCCCCATACAAACCGAGCTAAATTAAAAGAAGCCAAGCCAGATCAAAAGTGAATAAAAGCATGAAAAAGGAAAAAAAAACCGAGTTCAATCGTTTTTATCTATTTTAAATATGAATTTTTTATTTTTTTAAATTTTGAGTAAATTTTTTAAATTAAAAGTAAGTGTTAATGTACAATTACATCTAAACCAGAATGTAGGGTATAGATCACAATAAAACACAAGTTATGACAATGTTAAATTTTATTATTTCCCGTACCCCGACTTGTTGGTTGGCATCCTCGATATAAGACTCTTTAGGTCGGGAGTTTGAAATCCCCTCCGGCAAGATGAGCCTTGAGGAGGTGGTACTCGAATTGTTAGACAAATTAGAAGTGCCTGGAGACTCGTATAATAGCCTCTGACCTGGCGAGGTGAGTCTTGAGGTGGTACTCGAATTGTTAGGCACACTAGAAGTGACTAGAGGCTCGTATAATAGCCTCTAACCATTTCTTTATATATATATAATTGTCAAAATATATCGACTAAACCAAACATTTGACATGTCAAAATAAATCCAACTTTAAGACCAGCTAAAGTTTGACATAACTACACATAAAATCAATAGAAACTTAAATCACACTCATGTCAAAATAAATCCAACTTTAAGACCAGCTAAAATAGTAATTTTGATTCCAAAATTCTCCAGCAACTATACCTGACCACTTCAGCACATAACAAAGAAAGAATAACATAAGGAATAGCAGAAAGAACTGCCTTTTTTCCATCATTATATAATAACTCTCAACAAAAGTATGTATGTATAAATATATTTATATATGATGCTAATTTATAACGAACAAATATAAAAATAAATTAAGAAAAAAGGAAAAAAAAAACTAAAAGTCGAGGTAAAACAGCCATACTTTTTCCCCATAGACCAAGATCAGCTAAATTTCTTCAATACTTCTGAGCATTTGGATTTGCAGAGCAGCTTTTTAGTCTTAAGAAAATAAATATAACCATACAAAAGATGGTGAGAGAGAGAGTAGAGAGGGATTAGATAAGCTCGAGGAACAAAGCCTCTTGTTTACTTGTCAGGCCAAGTTCGCTTAGAGATAGCTGGCTTTCTTTATTTGTGAACGAACGGCGAGGATAGGGTCTTACCTGTAACACAATAATACAAGATATCAGTCACCTTGATGCAATGCCATAATGTTGGAGAACATTTGAGTCAGGATATCTTGACTCAAATTGACTGGAATGAGCTTTAGTTGTTGGAATTCAGAATAATGCGAAATATTTATATTGATATGAAAGGAGCATAAATAATACTTATAAAAATCCTAGAATTGAAAAGACAATAAAAAGAAAAGAACAAAAAAAGGAAAGATATAACACTTAATATCTCCAATTAAACAATTCCTATTAATTATTTGCAGATAAAGAAAACAACATAGAAAAAAAAAAAAGAAATAAATCTAACCAAGAAAATAAATCTAAAATAGGAAAGAAAATAAATTAAATTAGGAAATAAATCAAATCCTCGAAACATTTAATAAGAATAAATTATTTCCAAATATAACTTTTAACACTTCCCCTCAAGTTGAAAGATGGTTGAAACTCATGTTCAACATGGATTTGAAAACATCAAACAATAGACAAGAAAAATCTTGTAAAGTAGAACTTGAAGTCTTCATCTCGTACCGTGGCTGTCTTTGACTGCAGTTCCTGCAGTATCTGTTAATAGGGGGAAGACTCCTACAAATAATGTTGCAAGGGAGTTTGCAGGGAGGTATACAAACTGCAAGAAAAACTGACTTTTAGTTGATTGTGGTTGCCTTTGATTGCAGTTCTTGCAGTGTTTGCAATAGATAGAACGCTTCTACAAGTAATGTTGCAGGGGAGTTTACAGGGAAGTATATAACTTATAGAAAAAATAGATTTTTAGTTGACTGCAATTCCTGCGGTGTCTACAAGTATGCGGAAGACTCCAGCAGGTAATGCTACAAAGGAGTTTTTAGAGAAGTAGATAACCTCCAGAAAAAGCTGTAAGGTATGACCTGTAGAAAAATAAAAAAAAAAATCCCGAAGATAGGACAGTTGTAGGAAAAAGCTTTAGAGGACGTACTGGAGAAAGAATTACGATGGATGACCTGTTGCAAGAAAAGCTCCGAAGGAGAGTCTAATACAAGAAAAAAGCCTCGAAAGTGGGCCAGCTATAAGAAAAGCTCAAGAGGGTCTGATGCAGAAAAAACTCAAGAGGAGGGTCTGCTGCAGGAAAAACCTTAGAGGGCCTACTGTAGGAAACTATCCTTTACAAAAAAAAACTGCTGGCAAATAAGATTTATGGCAACAGAGAGCATTAGGCTGCAACTTGCAGGGAGAGAACCTGCTGCCACTGCTATTGCTGAATAGGAGAGTTCTAGTGAAGGAGAATTCTGCAAGGAGAGTTATGTTGGCAAAGAAAACACAGAGAAGGACCTGCATGGAGATTTCTGGCAGCAGGGAAAAAACCGATGGAGATGGGCATGTAGGTCAGCTGTCAGGATTCTATTCAAGGATACATCCAATCCCCCATTTATAATAGTCTTTTCCAAGTCTTTTTGCTAGAAAGCCAACAATGAACTTTGTAACAAGCTTCGCTTTGTTTCTGCAATCCACGCATGTGAAATGGCGAAATATGCCATGGAGGCAGCTGTAGTCACAACTTTCTACAAGAAGGAATAACAGTTGAAACCTGCAGGGGAAAAAATGGCAAAAATAACTCATCCTCTCTATCCATTTTTGCTGCGAAGACATTTCTAGAAAAAAGAACTCTTTGGTTGGAAGCGTCACTGGAGAGAAAAAAACCCACTCTTCGAACATTGATGACGGCTCTCCAATTGAGATTTCTACTTAAGAGAGAGTCTCTCCCTCTCTGAACATCGACGATGAGTTTTAGGTGGGGATTTCCACAATAGAGAGAAAGAGCAAATTACCCCAGAAATTCGCTAACAGAGAAAAATGCAAGAGGAAGGGCCGTAGGAAATACAACTCCTTCTGATGCTTGTGCAGGGAAGGAAAAAAATATTATAGGAGAAAGGGCCACTGGAAATGTAGCTCCCCTCGATGCAAAAGAGAAAAATATTACAAAAGAAAGGGCCAGCGACAAACCAAGCTGCAGGAACTAACATTGGATTTTTGTAGAAAAATTGCTGGAAACGACAGAACACAACGCTAGATTTCAGGGAAAAAGCTATGTTGTTTTCTGCGTCTGGGAAGAACAATAGAAATTTTTTTCCTGCGGGAAAGCTCTTCAAGTAAGTACAGCGGGAAAGTTTTGCGGGGAAGAACTTGAAAGTCTTGCGGTTGGAAGGGCCAATAGAGAAGCCATCGACAGAGAATGGTCGTCGGTGAGAGGCTGTTGGTTAGAGGGTGGCAGTAATCCACGATTGGTTGCCCACAGAATATACCCTCGACGAGGATCTCAAGAACATCATCACGCTAGATTCGCTCCAGCTCTTGCGACAAAAAGGCCCGAGACTGGAATCCAGGGATCAACCCTTCAATAGAGGGAGGTCTAGCAGTTGGAACTACCTGTCAGAAGGATCAACGACAATAAACTTTAGAAAATTGGTAGGGAAGAGGGGAACCAGCGACAGTTAGGGTGAAAAACGACAGCTAGGGGAACTGACAGCTATAGATCTATGCTGCAAATGTGCAATAGTTCTTTATGGGAAAAAATATTAATGGGAAGCCAACAACAAAAAATTCTCCACGAAACATATCTCTATAGAAGGAAAAAGAACATAAAGAAAAAATTGTTGCATGCTTTTTGGAGGTCGGCAGAGTCGAAGCTCTTAGCTTGCTTCCAGTCAAAATAGAAACTTTGTTTGCTTTTTGGAGGTCGGTAGAGTCGAAATTGCAGGCTTGGGAAGGGCCAACAGACAAGTGAAGCCTGCTGGGAGACAAGCAAAAGTCATTGTTTCAAATACCAAGACGAGTGCCCCTCCCTTGTCGTGTGGAGGGTGGTAGGAAGGGAGAGTCCAACGGTTCAAGAAGGAGGACAGGTGGCTAGAGTATGAAATTAAGCTTTGGTATCTTATTGAAATCAGAATAATGCAAAATAATTTTATTGATATGAAAGAGGGTATAAATAACCCTTACAAAGATTCTAAAATAGGAAAGACAATTAAAAAAATAACAGGAAAGGAAATATATAACATCTAATATCTCCAATTAATTAATTCATATTTATTATTTAGAGATAGAAGAAACAACATAAAATAAAAAAGCCTAAAATAGAAAAGTAAATAAATCCAATCCAAAAAATAAATATAAAATAGGAAAATAAATAAAATTATATTAGAAAATAAATCTAATCCCCACAATTATTAATAGAAATAAATTATTTCCTAATATAACTCATAATAGTATCATTATATTTACTTGGAGATGAGTGTGATACATGAATGATCAAACAAAATCAAATTATGCTCATGCCAATGCAAATTCAATAATTATAAGATCATTTTGGTTAAATTTGGATTAGAATATTCTGACGGAAATTTGGAAATATTATAAGAGAAAATATCATAATCAAAGTTTAATTAGGATGAGTATCAAAGTCGTTAGACATGGTTTTAGATGAATACAATATATGAGGAATTAATCATAGCTTAAATTATATTCGTCTAAAAATAAACCCAACAATTTGTGAAACTTAGCTTGATAAAAAATTTGATCAAGATTTTTCATGCCAATTTTTTCCCAAACTTTTTTCTATACAACGCATTCCTGGAGTACCGACATCACAATTATAATGTGTAAAGTAAAAAAGAATCAATTATTCATTCACTTTGATCTAAAAATAATATTAATTGATTAAAGAAAAACACTTAAAGAGACAAAATGTGAAACAAATATATCCGTAAAAAGAGTTGGTGTAGGCAGCTCTAGCGGCAAACAAGATTACAGAGAGCTGTCTTAGATGGTATAGCCACATTAAATGTCAACCATCTGATGACCTAGTTAGTAGAGTAGATGTTATACAGTCGACTTATGTAGAAGTAGACATAAAAAGAACTGGGCAAGTAGTACAAAAAATGATCTTCATTTATTTGCATAATACGAAAATATGACACAATGGAGAAAAATGATTGAAGTAGCCAACCCCCACTTAATGGGATAAAGGCTTGTTGTTGTTGTTGTAAAGAAAAACATAGAATTCATGGAGTTAAAAAAACCTTTTGGCACATAATGATGAAGTGGGATGAAAGAAAACATATTGGAATCAAGTTATATATCATGAGGAGTTCATATCAGATCTTAAATTCAGTGAAAAATGAATGCTATTTATAATAAAGCTGAGGCAGGTATGAACATTTTAGAACAATTTAAAACTAAAAGTGGATTATTTTCTCATAAATATAAAGAATAACAAATTTCTAAACTCATCCCTAGTAACCTACCAATTGGATGTTTGAAGTTGGAAAAAATGCTTTGAAAACAACATCATTAGTTGAGTAACTCGCTGCGGTTAGCAATCATCAGTTGTTTAAACTCCTAATAGAATCCTAAGATTCAAATTTAATAAATCACAAATCCGCACACAAAATGAATGAAAATCAAATTATTATTTTCCAAAACATGTTTTCTATCTATTAACTAAATAAGCACTCAAAATGTAAGTTATATGAGAAACACCGGCCTCGGCTCAGATTTTAAGCTTGCTAAGCAAGGATTAACGGAAACCTCTACTAACCCAAATTTGTAGCTGGCGTAAATCAGGATTTGATAAAGGTATGGAAGCCTAACAGATATTAAGATGCAGAGAGGCTTCTTGTTCATTTTTCAGTTCTTGATCTCATGGTTTCTGGAAGAAAATCGTCTACAAAATTAGCTGACATTGGGGCCTGAAGCATAATGTGGTCATCCTACAAAGTCAAAACCACCTGGACTTAATTTTCAAATAATATATTTACCTTAAGGACCCTTATATAATTTGAGAACACATAAGAGAATTATATCGATCCCACTTGATTAAAATTAAAAATATGGGGATTTACATACATAACACAATTCTTATGTATTTATATATCTAACATAAAAAAAATAATATCCACCTATATAATACCCTAATCTTTAGATCAGCTCAAAAATCACTAATATTAACAGTTTAGCAGCAATACACATCTTTTCATGCACATATTTAAATGTAGTTGAAACACTTACATGTTACACAAGTAAATAGCAGTTTTTTTTTTTTTTTTTAAATAGAATAGCAGAGATTAAGTGCTACGTATATATAACTTCATTAAAATTGTTGGTATGTATGTAAAAAAAATGAGAATAAAGTCTCTAATAAAATTCGGAATCTATTAATTAATTAAATTTATTGCTATATCACACGTTACTAGAATGAGTATTGCTAGATAATTTTAACTCCAGCTCCCACAATAATATTCTTTCCTAAGATGTTTAGTAATAATGGACAACTAGCAAGCCTTCCAATATCTAATAGTTACTCAATTTAGCCTACAATATTTTGAAGAAATAGCTCACCTTTCTATAATGCATATTTTTATCAAGAGAGCAAATTCTTATTGTTGAAAATTTCATTAAGTATTCTTAACTGTTTATCATGTAGTCTTACATTTTTGCCTAAAAGAGGCCATCCATCGTGATTCCCCTAAAAGGCCATACGCAATATTTTAAAAAAAAAAAAAAAAAAAAAAAAAACAAACACCCAACCACAAACGCAATTCACAGACACACATACACATACGTAATTCAGTTACTTTGATTTTTGTTGCATTATTTACGGTTGTTTGCATGAGTTACTTGCTAGTATAAGAAAAAATGCCATGCATAATGAAAATTTAATAGTGGTCGATGTTCATTCGAATTTTTAGGGTAATTTTTAGATGAAATTTTAGTTTATTTCCATTATGTACAAGTTTTGCGAATCTAATTGCAAAAAATTATCAACCACAATCTCAATGCCTTGTTAAATTTACATTGGCGCGTATTTTTTCTTTCAACATAACTACTACTTATTTTTTCACGGCCGAGTTTTATTACCTTATAAAGGCCATTTAAAGCTCCAAATTTTCCTGGCATCACTGTAGGATAATCTCTTTCATTGAGAGGATAGTCTCTTTCATTGAGAAGAGAGTGGTTGAAAAAATAGATAGTGATATAGGAGAGAATAAAGACGTTAAAGAGAAGTTTCAGCTTCCAGCCGATAAGGAAGAGATGCTAGTGATTCAATGAGTCCTTCAAGCTAAGCCCATGAGATATTATCAAGGCCAGCACTGGTTCTCATAGAAAAAAGTGGGTTCGAAGAGTCTGTAATAGAAAAGGGTAAGCCCCTATTGAAGTTGGCAAATGTCCTGATCGATAATTTATCTCCTTTGGTGGCTACCACTGAACAAAATTAAGCATTGGCCATAGCCTCATTTCAAATAATTAAAAACCAGCTATGTCTAAATTATAAATACAAATAATGTGGATGATTCACTTCAATGATGGTCATGTTAAAAGCGAATTTTAACCGAAAAAATCTATTTTCAAAATACAAAGCCCTTAATGATGATTATGTTAAACAAAATCTCTACTATAGCGAACACAACAATCAAAATGCCTTTAAATTCTAATGTAAAATATCTTAGGGCCACCTAAAAGTAAGAATGAAAATTCATCCACCCTTCGAAACAATTGTCAGGCATTAGCAAATTACTAGCTAACTTGAGCACGTAAAATATCAATATCATATCAAAAATATTTTTATAGTAACTCACAAAAGATCTCACACCAGGAAAAAAGTCGTCCGTGTTCTCTATCAATATAATTTTATCGTAAAATAACAACACAAAAAATAGCAGTAATGATCAAAGCCCTTTGAAAAAATGATTAATGCAAAATGATGCCATCACATCATAGTCATAACTACATCTCGTATGTTCCCCATAGCTCAAACCTTAAATAAGGAATCATAGGGTAATTTTGATAAGACAAAGTCTTATATTAGCTGAGATCGACTTAAATTGATCCTCTCAGACAAAGATACAACTCATGTCTACAAGATTCCCTTAAACGATGCAACTCATGGCTACTGACAATAATGTTTTAATCAAGTTAGATCGGCTAATATAATCCAGTGGAGTAATTAACCATAGAACCTTGCACCAATGAGAAATCTCGAATTAGATGTTAAGTGTCTTTGTAAAATGAGGCAAAAACCTCTATGTAGCGTCTTGCTTATAAATCTAATGTGTCTTTTAAAATTTGACCTTTGTAAAATGAGGCAAAAACCTCTATGTAGCGTCCTGCTTATAAATCTAATGTGTCTTTTAAAATTTGACCCAAGAACACACCAAAAAAATCTCTAACAAGAGATCGGGGCGCAACCTATAATCTTGAGCAATCACATAAACATTATTAAAATGCAAAGGTGGACTTCAATCTTCCTTTCTTTCCATCTTGAAAACATCAATCGTGTCCTAGGTGCTCTTGTTCATCACAGCTTTAATGCGGCAATTCATCAAATTTGGAAGCAGCAATTCATCAAATTTGGAAGCGGCAAATCAAAGCTCTAATAGACATGCAAAAAAAAAAAACATGAAGTTATCCGGCTACTTGTCGAACCTTCCAAACTTCCCTAATAGTGGAATAGACAACTTTCTTGTTCACATGGGCAGGTAAGGAATCATGTCATGTCTGACGCGGAATTTAGTGCTGGTTTGCTTGATATATTGGTATGCTATGTCATGCAAAATAATCATCTAATTTTCTATAATATTAAAAGTTATTGGTCCATTAGAGAGAAGCAATCACCAATCACTCATCATAACAAGGATGTTAAGAGGCTGCATCGTCAGTTAACACTTAAACAGGAAAAAAAATTTAAAGTGGTATTCATGTAATAAATAAAGGATGGTAAGAACCTACACATATTAAATAAACAAATAAAAAAAAATGCAAGCAATCAAAGATATATTGAATGATTAATTACCAATCTATAACTACCAGGCCTCACCAATCTTCCAACATCTAGGTAATCAAAGAGTAACTGCCAAAAATAAAGTAAATGAAAATTAATCATTAAAAAAAACTGACATTAGGGGCCTGTAATTCTGTAAAATATACCTGCAGCTTGTCAGACTTCAGAAAACGCCTCCCACAACGACTACCATCAGGCATACGAATAAGAAGCGTCACAGAATTTTCATTGTCAACAGAAGGTTCCTGAGGAAGCGATGCTTGTTTTGCAGCAAGTTTCCTCTCAAATTCCTGCCAAATAATATGAATTTATGAAAAAAAAAAAGTTCTGCAATTATTTTCATATATACAAACACCATCATTTAACTGTAATGCAGTTAGAGATTTTCACAATCCAAAAATACAGTTAAGGAGTAACTTCAAGAACAAGAATTTTTACACTACCTTCAAATTAGACACCATGGAAAGAATGTGCAAATCAAGAATAATTCATTTTTTGCAGAAATCATGTCAAAAGATGCTTGGAAACCATTTCCACTACATACATTTCAAAAATACATTATAAATTTCCAGTTAACAGCTCACCAAAATCCATAACAAAAAAATCAATAGTTCCTGATTCAACTAACTCCGATATGTACATGAATTTTTGTTTGAAAGCACACGAGTATCGACTGGGTTCTATGAGATTGGTTGCTCTGAATTTTAGTTGCATGTTTAGAAATGCATGGATTAATTAATTATGGTTCTCGAAAATTGAAGTAAGGCAACAGAATTGTCCATGTTTGGACTATCATAACAATAGAAGTACATGAACTATCTCAGAAGCCAGTACATCCCAGTTACCCAATTATTTGGGAAATGGGGTTAAACCTCCTTTTTAAAGTTTTTTTTCCCAAGCTAGTATAACTAATTTGCCTGTCCACACAAAAGCCCTTATAGCTTTCCTTGAAATTTAATTCTTACGCTCTTCTACCATAAGTAATCATGGATTAGTCTGTTACAAGTCAACAACCCACCTAAAAATCACTTCGGCACTTGCCTGTATTCTATTGTGAAAAAAACCAGTCTAACACGCTGGACAATATTTAACAGTGTTTGCATTTGAAAGGGACAATCTTTATAAAACACACGTGTTTTGGCATCCTTGAATTGCATCCAAAAACAATTCACATAATTCTAAAATTGCATTATTACCAAGTGCATTGAAATAATTGAACGCCTAGAGAACAGTAATATAATCAATGAGGGAACCAAATTATGCTAAAAAAAGTGAATCAAACATTCTACTTTCAGGAAGTGCATCTGCGTAACCACAGTGCCAAATAAACTAAATATTATTCTATTTTATTTCAAGTTGCTGCCCTGTTGCAATCTTTTTACCTCTTCTTCAAGCTGCTTCCTGTAAGCCTCTTCCTCTTGATGTTTTTCCCTCTTGACAGCAGCTTCTAAAGCGGCTGCCTCCTCCAGTCGGCGCTTATCAGTCTCTTGCATGGCTTTCAATTCTTTTTCTCTATCTGCTTGTAGGGATGCAAGATACTCATCATCCTAAAAATTCATCAATGTCAGTAAGCTAACAGATATACAATTAAGAAACCAATAATCCTGCTACTAATGAATATTAACCTGCTGCTCTCTTAGCATTCGCTGTTCAGCTAGCCTTGGAGATGGTGGATGAGGTGCCCTATCATAATTGCTCGGCATAACTTGATGAGGGTATTCAAAATGATATGAAGTTCCAACAGGAACCCCCCCAAATATGGCTGCCTCAAGCATCACAGCTTCATCATGCTCTTCAGAGGAGATGCCGCCCCACTTAACCATTGTGCAGGAAAATCAGTCTAATTTAAAAATGAGGCTTTTACATACATACAACCTAATTCCTATATATTTACGTATCTAACGCCAAGATACAACCGTTTTTAACATTTAAAAAGTGAAATGCACCTTTTCAAGCATATGTAAGGTAGCATGTATGTAAAAATTGAAATTTATGTCACACATATGTAAATACAAAGTAATTAAGTGCTACTTATGTAAATCTGCCTTTAAGTATCACTAAAAATGCTTGAATGTGTCTCCATTTTGCCAACAAGTAGAATGCAAAGTCAGAGATCATACCTCATCAGATTTGAATGTGTCTCCATTATGTCTTGCATGCCTGGCAATTTCATGTCGTCGTGGGCTTGACAGAGTACTCAAAATCTGTTCAGGAGCATTTCCAGAGGCAGCAGGTCTAGAACGGTGTACAATCAGTGGCTCTTCATCTGCATCATCAACTTCATCTTCGAATGATGGATCTCCTTCATTCATGTTTGATTGATTAGAAGTTTGAGGCCTTGATCTCTCAGGCCCTTGGCTCCAACTAAAAAAAAGAAGAAGAGATATACCACTATATCAATCAAACAGATAAAACCATTTGAAGCAATCAATTATATCGAGTGTTCAGTAAACCAAGTACCTAGCAGCAATACAATGAAAAGTCATGACAAAATCAAAGATTAACTTTTGACATGAAAGGTTTTATTGCTACAGCATAAAGATGTCAATGAGCTAAAATAAAAAGACAATGCATCAACATGCATTGTCAAGCAAAAGTATCTATTAACGAACCCAGATAACTATATATATATATATATATATATTGTGTGGATTGCCGTCGCATCCAGAAGTGTTTAGTTTGTGTACTTTTTATTGTTTTGAGCATTTTAGTTGCAGTTTTTGATATGGTCTTATATTTACGAGTTTTAAACATTTTAAGTAGCATACTACTTTTAGTGCTTAGAGAATGATAATGCTATTAATAGAGGGGATTATTTAATTTCTTTAAAAAACATGAATAATGAAGTTCAATAAAAATAATATTGAATAGTGGATGGAAGTACATTTGTTGTATCAATCTTTAAATTTCCAAATACATAATTTAAATATGAAAATTTGTTCATCATGGTCTGATAAACGAACTGGTTTGCCATTAATAGACTCACTCTATGTTTATCTCCGTCTTCTTAGATCAACTTATTGAGTGGAAGGTTCATAATTCAAAAAATATATATAAACTAGTTTTTTATGTCTTTTTTACTGATTCGGATGAAAAAAAAAAACTCGGTATGTGACCTCAGAGCAAATGTTTAGTGAGGATGAGTGAGTGTGAGACTCAAGCATGCACAGCACATGAAAGTGCGTCCTAGAATATAAAGATGAAATTTTTAAGGATTAAAATCTATGCTTGAGAGCTCATACTAGCGTCTTCATAGCTCTAAATTATTTTTCAAAAACATCACCAAAACATAGATAAAAGTCTTGAAACCAGTCGAAATAACAAAAAGGGTATTTTCAAAACAACCTCAACCATTATCAAACCAAAACAACAGAGCTGAAAACCTGGACTTTATAAAAAAGAATGAAACGGAATTATAATGCAAAAAAAAAAAAAAAGACAGGGTAATGAAGTTTTGGGTAAATGTTGGTTAGAAAAATCCCAATTTAAGCGCAGCAAAATGTAGTATTTTTATATTCATGTCCGAGAAAATTATGTGCTTCATTAAAATGCCTACAATCACATTAATACCTTCCAACGTAATAGAATCTTAAAGAAGAAAAGTATTCTTGACATCATTCTAGGGCTCCTAGAAGGTATTTAAGGAAGGGTTTTAGCGGGAAAGTGGTTGAGGAATAGCACGCGAAAAAAATATATGAGGTCGGCGACATTTGAAAGAGGGTAAGCATCGTTCGACAGCTATCCAGCTGAAAAACAATAAGGGAAACTCTGACATGGCAAGATGTGGGTGGCGAGGAGATTCACCACCTATTCCTAAGTAAGATACAAATAGACAACTTGCAAAAGAAAGATGATACATCATTGTTAAAGCAGAAAATCTGAGATTACAATCTCCAAATTACTCAAAACAAATCAAAAGTCCTCTAAACAACAAAATAACAATATATATTATATATATAGTTCCCTCACATAAAAACCGAACTAAAAATAGATAGATGAGAAAAAATCCTAATTAAGCTTCAAAAAATAAAATAAAATATAATAAAATAAGAAGGTTCCACAAGTCAGCTACACAATTAATGACTCGAAAAATTGCAATAAATCAAGTTGGCCATATCGCACAACTACACATATCAAGTAATAATCCGGATTCAAAGTACCGTGTATCAATCTCATGAGGAAAGAGTTAAGAAATATTTCAACGGGTGAATCTCTAGTTTACTAAGAGTCTAAACCTAGTTTTGGCGTAATCATAAGCAAGAAATTGAATTCTTATAATCGTACTCACAAACTGAAACAAAAAAAACAAGCCAAAAAACAAAGAAAACAACGAGAGAAGAAATCTTATGATTCTTCAAAAGAGATGAGGCTCACGCCTCTGTAATTCAGGTATCGTGGTGGCTTGTGATTTTCTTAAATGTTCTCCTACATGACTGTTGTCAACAGGGATAAAATGTTCTTCTTAAGTATTTGCCTAGGTCAGAAGAAAAATCAGAAACCTATGAAGTTAAGTTTCGCTTAATCCCATGATGTTTCGCAGGATTCTTCCTTTAAAAATCTTAATAGAACAAACCTATTCTACTAGGATTTTGTGATTAACCCATTTGTTCCTCTACGCAACGGGCAAAAGTCATAGATCACAGAAGATGTTAACCTCCTAAATGGCTAGATCGGGAGTAAATGAAATCTAAAGGTCAATACAACTTTCATAGGAAAACTCAGAAAAACGTCATGGGGAAAACAATTCGAGAAAACCACAAAAGCCACGAGCCTTACATCATAGAGAGCAAAAAATACTTAGCTACACATGATAAAACGAACAAAGAGAAACAACTCCATGAAAGTCATTATTGCAAATAAAACATGAAAGTAAACACTAAAAAAATAACTTGTCCTCTCCACCAAAGCAAAAGTTCTCCGTCTCATACAATCTTCTCTCCAAAACAAGAAAAAATAAAAGAAAAGAGGAAAAACAACCCCTATGACCTCAAGCTCAAGCAATAAAGAAAGTCATAAGAGAGAAACTGTCTCTCTCACCAAGACCCTCAAGCTCTGCCTTTCCTCGAGGACTAGAAAAAGAACCCTTATCATTAGAAACTCTAAACTCCTCTTTGCTCAACTTGAAGTTCCACATATTGGTCATAACCTCTAACACTTAGTAGGTGGGGTAGAATGGAGGATCTCAAGGAGACTCCCCATAGGACTACTTGACCTTAGGGATGACCCTGGGTGTTGGTCTGGAGCTAGTTCACTCACTTACATTCACTACCACCTATATACACTTGAAACCCTAAACCCATAATTGTTGACTTTGATCCGTTGATCTTTTGGGAAACTCATGTAGATGATCCCCTAGACCCACTGACCCTAGGCTAGAGTTTAGCTAAGACCAGTACATAGAGAACCCAAATGAGAATGTCAATTGTCCATAACTCATACATAGTGGTTGACACCCCAATTCTACCAAAATATCCAGCTTGGCATTTTGCCCCTAAATCCACCCAAATTACCTAAATGCCTTTGAAACAAAAAATTGTCAAATTACCAAAATATCCCCAAATTTGCCAAAATTACCAAAATACACTCGGCACCATAAACTTTCCTAAAACATCCAAAATCACTTCAAATGTCTCCTAAACCAATTTGGACCCTTCAATTGAACCCAATTTGGCCAATGAACCCAATTTGATTGAACCCAATTTGGCCAATTTGACCATTTTGACCAAAACCCCCAAATGACCTTTAAAGGCCCAATCTCTTCAAATTCATCTCAAATGTCCATCAATTTGGCCTCAATTCCCCTCAATTTCAATCCTAAACTCAAATTCATCTTTCATTTGATCAATCTAAGACAAATCCAAGCCTAATTGACCCATGTTTTGTGCTCAATTTTGATCCAAGTAAAAACCCCCAATTTTAGTCATGTGACTTAATCTCACCAAATTGAACCTCATAGCCTACTCAATTTGCCCCAATTTGGATTATAAACTCTTCATAACAATCCTACACATCAAATTTGCCCTAAAACTAGGACATATCTCTTCACTCCTCCACAGTGAACTAAACTTCAATTAATTGTGCACACACCATTCCCACAGTGAAAGAAGTTGATTCCCCATAAAATCCCCCTCTCAAACAGCCTCTAGCATAGACTTTGATCAACACCTGAAATTGATTTTAATCGAAATCATACCTAGACAATTCACCAAGGCTTGAGAATTCATCTAGAGGTTCGTGATTTCAATCGAAGCTACCACAATCATCTGATTGAGGCCTCCCCTCTCAGACAAAGGTATTGAGCTCTCACCCTAGCTCGAGCTTATTTTGATTCATTATAGGTATTTATTGTATTTCATACCGTATATACCATATGAATATGTTCGTCTTGAGTAGATGAAGGTTTAGAAACAAACCCCATGCGATTTGGTTGAGTCTAGCACGAGATCTTAAGGTTTTAGTGTGAACGGAACATAACAAACTAAGAACATCTCACTTGGGGACGATGAACGGCTTATGGGTTAACCTCATGTCGTCTGATCGTGCGTGTATCCAATGAACGGAGGAGCTCGAGCCGGACAAACTCTTGGTGCGTGAACCGCGAGCCGCGTGGCAGCTGAGGTGGATGGTGGCGTCGAATAGCGGAGCGTCGCGTGTAAGTTCGGAGCCGTCGTAGGTTAAGTTGGCGCCGTGTGGATAAGTAGAAAAATACTTATTTTTTTGAATTATTTTAAATGCCTAAACTTCAAAAGTCAATATCCTTCTCTAGAAAATTCATAAAAATAAAAGAAAAATACCCACTTGCTCAGTGAAAAGAGAAGAATAATGTGGACCAAAAATAAAAACTAATTTCTTATTCCCTGATTTTTAATGAATTAAATACCCTCTGTGGTATTTCAATTCTCCATGACTAAACGTTGTTCACCATGACTTGAAATTTTGAGGGTTTGTTTCTCATGACAGAGATTGTCTTCTGATTTTTCCCTGAATCCGTTTTTGTAGCCCTTGTCTCGGATTAGCAAGAAATTTTTTCCCAAAAATGTTTCTCGTTTTGTTGGCGTGGTTATGCCAACATTGTTGACCAAGCAGTATGGTCACGCGCGATCAAGGTGTGATCACGCCACTGCCTTCGATTCAGCGGTGTGGTCACAATGATTTTGGTAGTTTTGACATTGTAATTTCTCGCTCTAAAATGCTCGCTCGGCCTCTTATAACCTGCACATCACCAACAAAAAACCTTCCACAATCGTAAATCCATAATAACTAAGGCGAACAACATGAAATAAGCAGGTCTAGATGTAATAAAAATTGCGTAGAATTGACTCATATCAATATCCAAAACTTATCAATTACTTGGCCTCAAGTAATCTCATACCTTAACAAAAATTAACTTAATACTGGTAGCTCTCATGTGGCTATCCTACTTTGTTAACTGGATCATATAAATGTCATGCAAAATATGAAGTTTTCACTTTAGGTTTAGATTTTCCTCAATGTCTAAAAACCCAATCATTTCTTTAATTCCCCTTTTTTTTATCCCAATGAAAACTCAGAACTCTTATTAAAGCGTACATGAAATATTTTCATTTATAAAAAAATTGTTCTAAATCAATTAGAAGTCAACCTACTCCAATAAAAAATTCTTTCTTAAAGAGGTATCATTGGTATTAAATCTTTTAAGTTATTCCAAAATTTATCTTTAGACCCTATATCTAAACCAACTTGAGGAGCATAAACACTTATAATATTAAAAATCTTAGTATCAACGATAATTTTAACAACTCTATTAATATCTCCAACTCTATTAATTTTTACAATATTATCTTTCAATTTTTTATCTATAATTACACCTATACCATTTCTAGACTCTTACCACAATACCAAAGTTTAAAACCTAAGTTATCAATCTCCTTAACCTTTTCTCCAACCCATTTATTTTCTTAAATACAGAAGATATTAATCATTTTATGAATCATAATATCAACTAATTCCATTAATTTATCATTGAGAGTACATATATTTCAAGATCCTATCATGATATTAATTTCATTACTTTCATGGACTAACTTTTTTACCTGCATCCATCCGGAATGTAGAAACTCTTGCTTTTTTTGACACTACACGCGGGCGCAGGTGTAGCCGCTCTAGCACAGTTTTCACTGTATTCAGACTATACAACGCGCGCTTCCAGGGGACGCCCTAGCATTTACACAATGATAAAAAAGATTTATGTCATGATTATTTCAACAAGTTTTACGCTACTTGTCGACTACCTAACGCAACCCTCCACTTTTCACATCCGGGCTTGGGACCGACAATGGTTCAGTCAAAAAACAAAACTCAGAATTAGACGTTTTAAAATAGTTAAACAAATTAAAAAATGCCCGTATACTACAGAGCACTCAAATGCCCATCACAATTGAAGAAATTATAGTAAGTTCATTGGTACCTCATGTAAATTCCCAAAGGTATTGAAGGTCATATTGCAATAAGATGTTTGCTCAAATCACCATAATAACTGAATCCACATACTAGCTAAATTTTGAAGTTGATGCTAGTAAAGGTGCTTAATACACAGTTAATGGTGGCATAATACAAAATGCCGATAGAAGGAATCAACAATTAAATGCCATTGCTTCAAGTTTTAAAGTGATTAAAATACATAAAATCTATATTCATAAAATGGTAAATAATCATATGCTCTTTTTGCTGCCCAAGGCATGAGTGCAAATATCTACCTTCCATTTAAGCGCAGGCTTCCAGAATTTTCTGGCTTGCTGCCGGATGCATTGAAAGACTGCTCACCTATATCCAAACCTTTAGCGCGTAATTCACTTTCTTTTTCTGCTGTCTGATGAGGAATCATGCAGAAATATGCTCAAATTATAATTACGAAGAAAAAATGAACCTTTAAGAAGATGAAACAAATGCAAGAAAAGACTTCCAAAAAAATTAAAAAACCTTTAGAGACAAAGTCACCGCATGGGCAAGATCAGACTCCTCCAAAACAAAAGAATCCTGGTCCAAGGTAGTTCAATATTAATAAAAAAAACCATTAACAATTACTTTAAGACAAAAAGATATATGAAAAAAATCACAAACTCAATATTATCATACATCTGAAACATCATATTGCCGCCTTCCATATTCCAAAGCCTCCCTCTTTGAAGCTTCAATTGCAGCTTTTATCATTTCTTCTTCTATATCATTGGAGTAGTCAGTCACATCTGCCAAAGGGGTAAAATTTGTTGTGGGATGTCTTCTAGCAGAAACACCGGCAGAGTGGTTAGCACCATGATCAGCAGGAAGAACCTCATCCTCCCCATCATCAATAATAACAGTTCCATGAACCACAGTTTCATTCGCAGAAACACTTCCAGTAATATCCTCAATTTTTGGTCCATGGCCAGAAGAACCTGAATGAGAATTCTCATCCTTAAACTCAATTGGAATCTCCCTCACATCCCTTGGGTGTGAAACCCGTGGAGCTTGGGTGGTTAACTCATTTGTACCCCCATCAAAAAGACTCTGGCCAAAATGTGATTCAAGAATTGAAAATGGGTTCAGCCTTCGAATGGCTGAAAATGGGGGAAGTGCAGGGGCTGCTGTCGTAATATTAAAAGGATCATCTATATCCATAAAATCATTGCGAGTCACAGGAACATCTGCAGTGCTAGAACTGGGGATTAAAATCATCAGTTTAAGAAAAACACCAATGAAACTGATATCACTAGATATGAATAAAGTCTCTAAAAAACTTAAACTAGTAATGTAATTGCATACTTCATCCTATCGCCTTGACTGAAGTGGGAATTAACAGCTTCATTTAGATCGCCACCATATTCCTGATGTCAAGACAGATGCCAATAAAAGATTACTCAAATAGCACATAAAAAATAGAAACACACACACACACACACACATATATATATATA